TTTTTTAACAATGTTCGACCACACTTTCTTGCATTTTATATTATTTAAATACACACAAAAAAAAAATTAAATTTTTCACTGGAATCAATGAAATCAATAAAAATAATCTGCACAATATTTATATATATATATTTTTATACTTTTGAGCCACCGAATTTTTATATATATGTATACTATTATCTAATGGAGATTAAAATAAAAAAAAAAATCTTATAAATTTTCACTATTCATATTATTTTTTTTCTTCTTCTATACTTTTTATAATAAGTTTTTTTTTTTTTTTAATTGATAAATAAAATACGAAAATCGGTTTACAGAATTTACTAATAATAACTAACTGTACAGTTGAAAATATACTATTCATTCATTCATTCATTCACTGTAAAATATGAAATTTGATCAGTTTTAGATGAAACAGGTTTTAAATGTAAATAGTTCGTAGCGCATAATTCACAGAAAATAACGGATAAAACAACGCACAATGCCAAACCTAAACCGATACCAAATATAATTAAATTAACACTTTGAGTCGCTTCGGGATGACATCTTTTATCACACATGTGGTAAACGTAACTACCTTGATTATATTCTTCAGGATCGTAAGGTTCGGAAGTCCAACCCTTATCGCAAACGCACAATCCCGTTCTAACATCGACATCTCCGTGATGACACTGTATATTAACGGTACCACTTTCTAAATCATTATTATCTTTTGTCTTATAATTATTATTAATTAATTTTAATATATCTCTTTTGTTAACTGTATTTTCTAAATTTCTACACGTGTTGCTTGTCGGCACGTAAACAATATCAGGAAGTTCTTTATCCGGATCTCCTTTGCATTTGGGTACTTTTTGACATCTTTTTCTCTTATGATTAAAATAATTTCTATGTCCTAAATATTTTAACCTACAATCAACGGGATTACAACCGTCAAATGGATCTAAATCCGTCGTTTCACACCTCAGGGAATTATCAGGAGTGTAAAGTTCTTGTAAATGCACAGGAACTTCTTCGGATGGTGCTCTTATCGTCGTGTCGAAATCAATTCTATGACGTATTTCATTTGTATCTTCCGAATTGACATCTTCTCTCTTATTCCAAATATCGACCAAACAAGATGCTTTTCTATTGTAACCATAAATGTTTGGATATAAAAAAGTAACGTTGTGAGTCGTACCTGGTTGAATAACTCCGAGATGTTCGCCAAATATTTGTATTGCATTACAATCGGAATCATCATCGTTGATTTTTTCACAACATTCGGCCATTGTTGCCATTATAACTCTGGGTATGTCACCGTGATGATGAATTGTTACAAAAAGACCGAGTGCCATATCTTCTTTTTTTAATTTCATAACACCAGAATTAACAACTTCAATATCGTGACATTTAATTATAATAATAATATATAAACAAAAAAATAAAAATATATAAAAAAAAAACATTTTTCATTTATAACAACAATCTCGTAACGTTCTATTATGTATATATATACAAAAAAAAAAAAAAAATTTTTTTCAATGTTGTCTTGTTCAATGCCTCTGTTATCCAAAAAAAAAAATTCCCACTTAATTTTTCCTCTTTAAATCCATTATTACATAGTATCAAGTTTTCATTTCATTACAAAACAAAAGTTTAATAAACATTTACATGATAAATTTAATTTTAAAAGAAAATGTTTAAAATTGTATTTTTTGTGAACAATGATTTGTGCTGCTGTTTATGCCTCCCCATTCTGTACCAAATGATTCATTTCCTGATGATGTATAAATTAATGGTGAATCTAACAAAAAAGTTTTTTTTTTTTTTTTTATCAAACCTTTAAACTTATTTTAATTATTATTGTTATTATTATTATAAAACTTACTCACTTAATATTGTTAAATTTTTATTTTTATTTATCACATCTGTATTATTATTATTATTAGTTTCTAATGTATGATGTTGTTGATAAAAATTTGTTGTAAAATTTCCATAAAGTTTTTCTTGTTTTCTCCATTTTGCTCTTCGATTTTGAAACCAAACCTTTTTTTTTTATTTCGACCCCATCCCAACCCCCAAAGGATAAAAGATTCTTTTTAATTAATAATAATAATAATCATAAATGATGAAAATAATAATAATAGGAAATTACCTGTACTCTTGCTTCTGTCAAATCAATTCTAAGTGCTAATTCTTCTCTAAAAAAAACATCAGGATAATGAGTTTCACGAAAAGCTCTTTCTAATTCATCCAATTGATAATTACTAAATGTCGTTCTGAAAAGAAAAAAAAAAAAAGAATCAAATTAATATTTTTTAAAAAAATAAATGAATAGATGTATAAAAAAAACTTTACCTATATCTACGTTGTTTACGTTTTATACCGGAAGTTCTTGAATTCCTCGATAAATTTCCTCTTTCGACTTCTTGAAGAACATCTTCTTTGGTATCACTTACTTGAGAATCATCAATTGTATCGTTACAATTAGTAAATTCGTTTAAACACCTCGATATTGAGAAAACTTTTTCCGTTTTTGTCGTTGTTGATGTCGAAAATATATTTTCACTGTTAAATATATTTATGGCTGATGATTGTATGGGTCTGATTAATGTTATATTAATATCATTGACAATCGAATCATTTGACGGTTTGACAATTTTAAAAAATGAATTTCCGGTTGCATTATTGCCACCACCAACATTACTACCACTACCACTGCAACCACTATTGCCACCACCACCGCCACCGCCACTATCTAAACAATTTTTTAAATAACAATTATCATCGTGTACGGATGATGATATATCCGTCGATGAACCAAACGAATCGTTTAAAAATGATTGACGACCGTTAAAATCGTGAAAAAAAGAAAAATTATTTTGAAAACCGGAAATGACGGGATCTCGATCACCACGAAATGCATTATTATTATTATTATTACATATCGTTTTATCGTTAATTAATTCGTTACTCGTAACAAAACCGTTAATTGAATAATTACAATTACCATTACAACGAAACGATTGTAATTTGTAAAAATCAACCAATGGTTTTATATCCATTTTAAAAAAAAAAAATTAATTTATATATATACGTAAATATTTTAAAGAAAAACTGTAATCAAAAACGTAAAATTTAAAAAAAAAAAAAAAAAAACAAAAAAAAAAGTGACAACTTTTACTTTGCCTTACTTTTTACTGACTGAACTCAAAGATATGTAAACACAAATAACCATTGGTGATTTTTTTTTTTTTGAAAAAAAAAAAAAAAAAAAAAAAAAAAAGAAAAGCTCAATAGGGGAGGTATTTAAGTGGGGAGAATGAGAAGAAAGAAAACCGAATTTTTTTTTTAAAAAAAAATATATTACAATTAACAAAGTTTTCTTTGTATTTTAATTTTTTTTTTTTTGATTAAATTATTCTTTAACAAAATTATTTTATTTTTATTTATTTTTATTTATTAATTTTATTATTAATATTAATTCTTATGTATTATTAAATATCCTTCAAAAATTAATCTATAATCCCCCTTGACCCTTTTTTTTTTTTTTTTCATCTTAAATAATTAAAATTTGTGATTTTTTAAACAAAATTAACTGATTTCAATGCAAATTGATTAAAACTAAAAATTTATTAATTATTAACCTATTTAAATGTTTATTAACATTTTTTATTTAAATAAATAAGAATAGAATAATTAATAGAAAATAAATAAATATTGGTTTAACTACGATTCAGTTTAATTTTTTTAAAAAAATAATTTTATTATTTATGTTATTATTATTATTTTTTTTTCGAATGTAAAAATAATTTTCAAAAAAAAAAAAAAATTATAAGGCTTCGACTTTTTATTATTATTGGAAAAAAAAAAAAAAAAAAAAGGTATGAGATCACGTGATAAATTTTTTACAAAACAAAAACCCGTTGACATTTTAAATGGCTTCACAAAACACTGAAAGAATTCTTTTTTTTTTTTGAAATAATCAAACCGATATTTAAAATATATAAAAAAAAAAATTGTTTTTTCATTTTTTTTTTCATTTTTTCCTTTCTTTTTGTTGTGTATGTAACCTAGATTTTTTTCTTTTAACACTTTATTAATAGATTTACAAAATTACTACTATAGTCAAATGACAAACTTTTACATTTTTCAAAAAGGAAAAACAAACAAAAAATAATAATTTAAATAAATTTTCCCTTTTTTTCTTAATTATTATTTTTTTTAAAATTATTTTATTTATTATTTTAAAAAAATAAAAATATTAAAAACAATAAGAAATTTTAACCGACATTGCGAAAAATATCAGTTTTCAATTCAGGAACCATTTTGATTTTTTTTTTTTGTTATTCAACCATACATAAATAAATTAATTACAAAAATGAAATTTTCTCATTAAAATTTATAACAAGCAAGAAAAATGCTCTAATTATAATAATAATAATAATAATAATAATAATAATAATAATAATAATAATAATAATAATAATAATTTTAATTAACGAAACGAACGAACAAAAAAGCAACAGGGGAAAAATCGTTGATATTTAACGATAATTTCCCAACAATAATTAAAAAAAAAACATGATTTTGCCGTGTTAATTTTTTCTTTCCATAACTAAAACATTTTACTGATTAGATTCTTGTTTTTTTTTACCAACAATACTTTCTTAAAACCTAAATTTTTTTCTTAAAAAAAATGATTCATTAACTTTTAAATTTCAATGCTCCGGCATTAGCTAATCGATCCGCCATTTCATTACCCTTTATTCCAGAATGTCCTTCTACTTTTTCCTTTAAAAAATAAAACAAAAAAATATATTGATGTAACATAACAGCAACAATTCAAATAAATAATTTAAAGTAAAAATTACTAAACTCACCCATTTAACTTTTAATTTTTGCGCGACTAAATCTAATTTTTCAAGTTCTTCTCTATTTTTAACTTTTCCACCATCCACTAACGTCCAACCGTTTTTTTTCCATCGTCGAATCCATTTCGTGGCGCAATTTATTAAAAATGACGAATCCGTAAATATTTTTAATTTTTTTATACCTTCAAATACGTTGTGATAAAAATTACACTAATGTTTATTTTTCCAATGAAATATTTTTAAGAAAAAGAACAAATTTAAGTTTAAATTAAAAAGTTTACCAGCTTTAATGGCTAATTCCATTGCTACTCTAGCTGCTTGAATTTCTGCACAATTATTTGTTGGAGAACCGACGAGTGGCTCTGACACATTCCTGTTAAAAAACAAAAAAAGAATCAGTTAGTGTAGTTAGTAATAATATAAAAATTTTCTAAAAAAGAAAGAAAACATACAATGGATGACTGTCACCGAACCAAATTCCTATTCCGGCTCTTGCTTCTTTTTTCCCATTGTTAAGACAAGTTCCATCTGTATAAACTTGAACGTATTCATTTTTATCTACGCTGAAAGATGTATAATCTACTGCTTCCGTTTTTATCGATGAAATATCAAGTTCGTCTTTTTCTTTGTTCTGAAAAATAAATAAAATAATTATAAGTATAAATAAAGGTAAAAAGGAATTACAATAATCAATCGATAACTTTACAAAATAATAATAATAATATATGTATCTTACACTTTCAGAACCTGATGAAGGATTTGAATCTGATCGTGATAATTTTCTCTTTAGTCGTTTTGTTTTTTTAACATCCGAATCCGAATTATCGTCTCTTAAATTTTTCGAATAAAATCTGTTAAAAATAAATAACAAAAAAAAAATTAATCATTAATTATGATGTTTTACAAAAAAAAATTATATCTATGGTAAATAAGTTCTTACCGAGATGAAGATGTTTGAAAAGATGAATTCAAAGTGTTGTAATCATGAGATGAACTACTATTATTTAATTTTTGATTTAAATTAAAAGCTGATTGTAATGTTCCTCCTCTTGTCGTTTTTGGCATTCTTAAATTCAATTCAGATGTGAGTAAGTTTTTTATATCACTTATATCCGATTTTATATTATGAAGTTCTGACATGATGCCACCGATATCTTTTAAACAAGCATCAAATCTTCTGTCGAATGAATCCAATCTAACGTTTAATGCGACCATATCAATATTTTTCACTTCTAATTTCTCCCTGGACTCTTCTTTGTTAGGAGAAATTTTTGAATTTTCAGAATTATTGACAAATGATTGTTGCGGTCGAGATTGACTTGAAGATGATGTCTCTAATACATCTGTCGAATCATTTGTGCAATTCTCACTCAGCCTCACATCAAGAGAATTTCTACTTTCATCATTTTCTTGTACAATCTGAGAGTTAACATTACTATTAATCAATGTTAATAATTCTTTAATTAAAGCTTGGGTAAATTTATTTATTTTTTCTGAAATATTCGCTTTATTGGCCATTGATAAATCTAAAGCAGATTTGAGCAGTTTTAAACATTCTTTATATTTATATCCTGAATTATTCATTTCTTTTTCAATTTGATTACAATTTGTAGAATTGATAATTGTATCGTTATTTTTTATTATTCTTTCAAAAAATATCACATCTTCATTATCGTTACTATTATTTGAATTAACTAATGCATTCACTACTGAATTTGAGTATTTTTCAACGACATTAGGTGAATCACAACAATCTAATAAGGGTTTATTGTTTTTTTCTGTAAAAGATCTTGATACTAATTTATTATTACTTTGATTGCCTATCGATGCTTCTAAATTACTCTGATTTTCATCTGAAATAATCTGACAACTAATCGGTTCTGTTTTACATATGATTTCACAAAAGTTAAGCATTTCATTTTGTTCTTCACTGGGAATAATATCAACATCTTTCTCTGTTTTTATCTGTTTCTCATTTAAATTAGTACTTTTATATTTCTTTAATTGTGTGGAACAATTAATAGGTGAAACATAAGCTTCTAATAATTTATTCGCTTTAGATTCTGTATTATTATTTAGAGAACTTTCACTTCCTAGCACAAAAGTATTGTTTTTAAAAGAATTCTCATATTTTTTGTACTTAAAAGTTTTTAATTTATCTTGTTTTTCACTGATCCGATTATTACAATACCGATTTCGATGATTACTTACTTTGGGTGTTGCAGGTGATGAATAATTTTTCCAAAAATTTAAAAATTCCTGTGCTTCAGCAAATGAATAAAATTTTCTAAATTTAGCATTACTATAACCTTTAATTAAATTTTCGCAGTCTTGCCTGAAATAATAAAAGTGATTTTCAATAAAACATTTAAACACAGTAATAATACGCTAAAAAATTCCGTTACAAATTATATATATATTGAAAAATAAAAAACATTATTATCGGTTTAATTATAATTTGGTGCAAAAAAAAAAAAAAAAATTTGGCACATTTTTTCTCGTGAAAAATGGCAATGGAAACATACCAGGTATTATAAATGCCCGTTTGATCACCGCGAACGACAGCATAATATATGCTCTTATCATTGTTGGACATAATTATTTGTATAAATTTTTTTAAAAGACCAACACGGGTGGTTATTACTAGTCTCATTAAAGGAGGCACATTGGAAATACAAACCACCGCCTTCTTCATTTTTATACTAATCCACGTTAAAAGAATTTAATTAAAAAAAAAAAAATTCTCTCTCTCTCATGACTTGAAAAAATTTCAAGTTTTCCCTGAGTTTTTATCACTACAAATGGTAAGCTTTTAATAAAAAAAAAAAAAAAAAAACTTGGGAAATTAACGGGATTTTTCAACTTATTTTTTTAAATAGTATTTCACGATAACGGACGTACCATTAATAAATATAAAATCGGTTTCATAATTAAGATTACGTGAGAATCTTATCATAAATTTTTGTAAAACTTCTACGAAAAAAAACCTACTTTCAAATATTTCAAAGAAGTTATTTTATTTCACTAATTAAAATATTAATAAAATGAACAAATAGGTTTGTAGTACCTAATTACTTTTTTAATTACTCAAATTTAAAAAAAAAAAAAAAAAAAAAAAGTTATTTTTTAAGATTTTATTTAAAAGTACGGGTTCGTACCATTAATCGAGAAAAGAAATTGAAAAAAATGGCGTCGAAATATTTATTTAAAGAAAAACCGTTAAAAGAAATAAGATCACATTTAATTGAATATTTAGGTGGATCTGTTAATTTAATTAAAAAACCCAATGGATTGGCTATAATAAACCTTAATCAAGATTCGAAAAAAAATGCCATAACTGGTAAATATTCATTTTAATATAAATTAAATTTAGTTTTTTTTTTTTTTTACTGTTTTGTAATTAAATAAAATTAATTTTTAAAATAGGTAAAATGATGGTGGATTTATATGACATTGTTGAAGAATTAGAATGTTGGTCCACGGGTAAAAGTATTATATTAAAAGGAGAAAAAAATAATTTTTGTTCTGGTGGTGATTTAGATTTTGTTAAAAAAATCAACACACCTGAATATGGTTACATGATGTCAACATTCATGCAAAATATTTTAAATAAATTTCAAAACTTACCAATGTTATCCCTTGCTTTAATTGAAGGCATAGGTGAGATTTCCATTGTCAAACACACAATTAGCACCAAATAAACTAAAAAAAAAAAAACAAAATAATAATGATAATAAACTCATAACTCTTTATAGGAGCTTTGGGTGGAGGAGCAGAATTAACGGTTGCCTGTGATTTTAGAATAATAACGGAAAATTGTCAAGGAATCGGTTTCGTGCATGGAAAAATGGGTATAATACCAGCATGGGGAGGAATTAATAGATTAATTGAGAAAATCGGTTATACAAAATCCCTGGATGTTTTAACAACAGGAAAATTATATAATCCAAATGAATGTTATCAAATTGGTTTAGTCAATGATGTAAGCAAGTTGATGTAAATAAATTTAATTTTAATTAATTTTAATTAATAAATAATTTTTTAACCGTAGATAATTCCAGAGAATGAAAATTCTTTAGATTATGCAATTGATTGGTTGGAAAAAAGAACAAAATTCGAACCGGAAATAATAAGGAGTATAAAAAAATGCGTTAGAAATGGACAAACAAATCCAGAAAATTATAAAATTCAAAGAGAAATTTTTGCACCCTTTTGGGGTAGTCAAAAAAATAAAGAAGCTCTGCTGAAAAATATTAAACATAAACAATAAATGATAATAGTTTTTTATATAAATAATTTTTCTACTTAAAACTTTCTTATGATCCTTCCCACTTTCCTCCCCCTCTTTCTCCCCCCTTCGCTCCACACTGAAAAAAAAAAATAAAACAATTATTAATAATAATAATAATAATAATAATAATAACCGTGAAAAAACAAAAAAAAATTTTCACTTAAATGCAATTTCTTTATTATTCAAATAAATAATACAAATTTTTTTTTTTTTCTTAATATATAATTAATGTTTTTTTTTTGTTTCTTTTTCTCTGTTTATTTATTTATTTTAAAAATAAAAAAATTCTAGATGACAACCCCAATTATTTATTTATTTATTTAAAAATTTTCTTTTTTTTTTGTTTAAACAAAAAAAAAAAAAAAAAAAAACGACAACACTGAAAGCTCCACCATATTACTTTCACACTTTTCCTCTTCATTTTTTTTTTTTTTGAATTCCTGTCCTTCTTTCCTTCCTTCCTTTATTTATTTATTTATTTATTTTCATCAAACCAATATTTATATTGTTTCATATTTTTCTTCACTTTATTTCATTTTGTTTTACTTTTTTAAATTATTTTACAAAGCATTTTATTATATTTACAAGCAGCAATTTTCCCACTCCTGAGTGAGATAAAATATTTATTTATAAAAAAAAAACATCATCATCATCATCATCATCATCATTATCATTATTATTATTATTATAATTATTATTATTATTATTATTATTTTTCCACCCCAAAAAAAATTTTTTTTTTTTTTATTATTTTTCTTACCCTCTAAAATTCTTTATCATCATCATCATCATCATCATAATTATTAATTATAATTTATTTTATATGTTTGTTCGTTTAGCTTTTTACATGTAATTTTAATTTTGTAATGACATAAAATAATAATAATAATAATAATAATAATAATAAATATAACTTCAATCATTGCAATAATAAAAAAAAAAAAATTATTTTTCATTAATCTGTTATCATCATTATCACTTTCTTCTTATTATTTCCATTTAAAAAAAGAAAAAAAAAAAAAAAGAGGAAAATGGCCGCAACTCACGAATTTTCTTTTTGTTTTAATTTTTAATATAAAATATGGAAGAACGTATGCACATTATCATTATTATTATCATTATCATTTATAAAAATTTTCTTTAATAATCCAAATCGAAACGTTTGAAAAACACATCAATCCATAATTTATTGAAATAAAAAAATAAAATGATGATAATAATAATATTCATTTAATTTAATTTTTATTTCGATAATATAAAATTTTGAATAATATAATTATATATTATTATTATTATTATTTCACGTCCAAAAACTAAATAAAAAGAAAGAAAAAAAAAGCCAAATCGAACAAACAAACAAATATATATAAATATATATATATATATATATAAATATGAAAGTCTCTTAATATTAACATATATTTACATAATGTATTGTTTTAAGTCACTCCTCCTCGTAAGAAAAAACTAATTTTCACTTTTGTAAAAAAAATTTTTTTATTACACTATAATTAATAATAATAATAATAATAATAATAATAATAATAATAATAATAATAATAATAATAATTGGAGAGAAAAAATGAAAAAAAGAAAAAAAAAAAACACATTTTGTTATAGATAATTACACTAATTACATTTAATTTAAAAAAAAAAAAAAATATTTTATTATATATAAGAAAATAATTTTTTCTTATTTTTTGTTTGCATTTTTTAAAATAATAATAATAATAATAATAATGAAATAAAATAAAATTTTTTTTTTTTTTTTTTTTTTGGTTTTTTCTTATTTATTTATTTATTTTCCTTATGTATATATTTATTTATTTTAAAAAAAATGAATTTCACGGTTTTTTTTCTACATATATATGTCTACTGTACACTGAGAAAATAAAATAAAATAAAATAAAATAAAATAATAAATTTATCAACATTATCAATTGTGGAAGTCTAAAAAAGAAAAAAAGAAAAAAAAAAAACAAACAAAATAAAAGTAAAACATTGTGTTTCCCATGAGAGAGAGAGAAAGAGAGAGAAAGTAATCACAGGGATTAAAAATAAAAAATAAAAAAAAATCAGTTTTTGTTTATTATTACTTTTTAAATGCGCGCAAACGACAACTTTTTATTATTATTATTATCATTATCATTATTATTATTATTATTATTTTGTTGCTGTTGTTGTTGTTGTTGTTTTTAAAACAAAATCGATCGACACTTTCAATATCCGACACCACGAATTTTTTTTTTCTTTTTCTTTTATTATGTAATAAAAAAAAATTTTCCAAATTTTCCAAATTTTCAAAGATTCATGTTTGTATATGCGCGTACATAATATATATTAATATATAATATATATTATTGTATAAATATAATTCCGTTTTAAAAATTTTTTTTTCTTTTTTCTTTTCTTTTTACGTAAAATTAAAAAAGTCGTTTTATTAATTTTTAACTTAAAAAAAAAAAAAAAAGATGAAGGAGAAACCATAATTTATAAAATTCCTCTTAGGAAAACCGGTCAGCCCAAAACGACAAGATCTTCGGGACCACCTTTGATCGATATTTTTCTCCAGGGTTTCCGTGATGCACGACGAAGTTCTTGCGCTGAAAGTTGCCTTCTCATTTTCCTAATAATAATAATAATAATAATAATAATAATAATAATAATAAAGGATAAGGATTTCAAAAATTTTTGTCTTTTTTTTTTTTTTTTTTTCCTTCAGGATTACCTCGAATTGACTGTCGATCTAAAATAAACATCATCGGGTGCATCCATCCACGAGATGACACCCTTTCGACCCGTACCCGTACGCGTCATCGTAGCCACTTTGGGCCTTGATTGACCGTTTAATTGATTAACGACCGTTCGGGGAACCCCACCCTGTATTGATGTCACGTTCGGTGATTCGGTCGCGACAGCGGCAGCAACGGCGGCGGCAGCTCTTATGGCGGCAACTTCTTTATTGGGACGTTTTGCCGGAGGTCCAGGTTGAGGAACCACTAAACCTTTAAGGAAATAACAATTTTCTTTTTTTTAAAGAAGAAGATGAAATTATTTAAATTTTCCGGGAGTAAACTTCCATGCTAGATCGAAAAAAAGGAAAAATTCTCACCTTCGTCCCAATCCAAATCTTGGCGTGTTAAAAAATTAAATAAATTTTATTAAAAGAAAATTTTTTTCTGGAAAATATTTTCCATTTTTTACCTTCACTAAATTTATAAAATTTTAAGAAAATTTACCTTCCAATCCATTTTCATCATACGCTCGACGTTTCAAACATGGTGAAATACTATTGAGGGGTGTTTTTTCCGCTTCCGGTTTATTCGGAACTCTTTCGTACAATAAACTTCCATCTGGAATTTTTTATATACATATATTTTTTTTTACTTGAAGTTAAAGTTAAAGAATTAGTAAAAATAAGAAAAATAGGTTTTGCAAACCTGGGCCTTTCGGAGGTTTCGGGAACATAATGCACAATGATTTAGGTATAAGATTTTTATCCGTTGGCAAAAGCCACTCGGGTACGACATCCGGATCCCCCAATCTGTTTGCAATTTGCGTCACTCCTCCTCTGTCTTTTTTACGAAATTTCAAAAGTTCTTTTAATTCTAATGGTGATTTCCCGCTCATTTGTGTTTGACCTTTAATTTTAAAAAATCATTAAATTTTTTCTTTTTTTTTTTTTTTTTTTTTTTCCTTTGAGTCTCCCCCCTTTCCCCCCTCGACTCTCGTTTCGCTTACATTCTTGTTTTATGGCAGGAACGTTAATGGGCCAAAATGGAGACCTTGCCGCGTGTCTGGGTTGCATTATGTGCCTACAAAGTCGTCTCGACAGTCGCGTCAAAGGAGTCGTGTGTAAATAAAATGCCGTCCTCGTTTTCATAATGGGCCTGGGAGATCCCGATCTTATAACGACACCGTGAGCCGTCGCATAATGCCTCGCCAAATGAGCTTTGAGTTTAAATTCTTTTCCACAATTGTTTACGGTGCACCGATGAGGACGATGCGATGCAATACTGGATGGAATTTTTTCTTCATCTGATATGCTACCAGATTTTTTCTTTAGATCACTTTCACTTTCGTCTGCAAAGAGTAAAATCAAATAAAAGCACACATCGTAAAAAAAAAATAAATAAATAAATAAATAAATAAATAATTACTCAGTCTAGACGGATTCTTAAGACCGCCATATTTTTTCCAATATATCCAGCAAGAATGACAAAGTTTATATTGGGTGTGTGAAGATCCCCAAGCGTACCACTGACTCGAACTTGTACCTGTTTAATTAATCATGTCAATCAAATTTTAACACGATTTTAATAAAATTCAAATGTGTATATATATAAGGTACTATATAATAATACCTTGACAAGATTCACAAGATTTTCCACAGATAAGACCGTCTCCATGATTATTTCCATTTAATACTCCTTTGCTATTGTTCATAACTGCAGGATTTGGTTTGTTACTAATAAATAAATAATAAACAAAAATATCAAAATTAAATTTAAACATTTTTATTTTTTTTTTTTTTTAATGCACATATGTTACCGATAAAAAAAAAAAAAAAAAAAAAAAAAAAATATTTTTTTTGAGGAAAATGGAATACCCCCTAATTGGGAATGTAAACTTGTTTAAGCTTGGATTCAGCTTCCCCAGCTTTTATTTTTTTTTGTTGAAGGTATTTTTCCGTTGTTTTCCCCAGGTAATAATATTGGATTATATTTTTTAATGTTTTCCAAGGCAGCTATAAAATTTAAAAAAAAAAAAAAACATTTAAATAAAAGTTTTTACTAAAATTGGACCAAAACCAAAAAAAAAAAAAAAAAAAAAAAAAAAAAAAACTTACAAAATCTTGTCGGATATCCCCAAAATCTTTACCGTATTTTTCTAGAGCTTCTTCGAATAAATTCGCCTCGGATGCAGACCATTCTTCCATTTCGTCTCGACATAGCACAGGACCCGAGGAAGGAACTAATCTGCTTATAGCTTCTGACAGGTTATAACCGTGATTGTGAAGTGTGTCCATTGCATGAAACTACACAATAAAAGCGTTATTAATTACAATTAAATGATTCGGATAAACAGTGACGAGAATAAATTTTATTATTATTATTATTATTATTATTCACCAATGTTACATCCCGTGATGCAGCGGCCGCGCTCATATGTAAACTCGGTTGTTTCACAGAACTTGAACAGTCTAAAGCTCTGGCAAAAGTTCCCACCGACCTAGATATGACTAAAAATTGATCTATTTGTCTATCCGTTAATTGATGGCCAGGCGTCCATACTAGAGTTTCGAGATCTTCACAATTTCTACTATCGGGTTCACCTTCTCTAAGTAGCGGCATGGGTTCAGCTTGATATCTATTCCCGACTCTTATTTCTCCCTTGTCGGCAAGAAGAGTTTTTTGAGCCGGATCAAATACTAAGCAGTAGAAAAATGTGTCCTACAAAAAAAAAAAAAAAACCAAGGAAATGAAGGGTTTAACATAACAAATAAGTTTTTTTTTTACAAGAAACTCATAATATATATATATATATATATATATAATAAAATTCTTACGTCCTTATTAAGGTAACTAAGTACAGATTCAGTTTCATTCAACAACGTCACCGAACATTTTCCTCTTATGTGCGTCGCCGGCAAGGTTTCCACTTGTCTTGATAAAAACAATTCTCTATGTTTGAGTTGATGCCTTTGTTTCCAATTGAGACTGTTTTCTTTATCTTTTATTTCTCCTTCTTCTCTCACTTCGTGCATTTCATTGCACTCAACATCTTCCGTCATCGGATAAGGTGCTTTTATTAAAATTTTTTTCAACTTGGCAGAAATGGGTGTATCATCGGCATTTGTGGAATTCACTAACAAAAACAAAAAAAATCAAAAAAAAAAAAAAAATTGAGTGCTTTAACTGAAATTCGAATAAAGCCATAAAATAATAGACAATGAGAAAAAAAAAAAAAAAAAAAAAATAGCTAGAAAATGCTGCAAAAATAATTGGAAAAAAAAAAAAAAAAAAAAAATTAATAAGTTATTGGTTTCATGCCTTATCTACCTTTTTATAATTGATAAAAAGGATTTTTCCCCCCCTCCCCCACCTCCCCTCCCCTCTTCCTCTCATTATTTATTCCTTATAAAAAAAAAAAATAATTTTTAATAATTTACTACTCACTTTGATGTTTATCCGCTAAAACAATAAGAGAATTTGGAAGATCTCTCCTTCTAAAAAAACACATGACTTTAGCTTCTACATTACCGCTAGGCGTCTGCAAAAAAAAAAAAAAAAAAAAAAAAA